CTTCATTTTTTTTCTTCCCTTCCTTCCTTCCTTCCTTCCTTCCTTCCTTTCTTCCTTCCTTTCCTCCTTCCTTCCTACCTTTTTATCACTTCCTTTCTTAACTTCCTTCCTTTCTTTTTTTACTGCCTTTCTTTACATCCTTCCTGCCTTCCTTTTCTTCTTTTCTTCATTCCTTGCTTCCTTTCCTCCTTCATTCCTTTGTTTTTTTCTTAATCTTTTTTTCTTTTTTCTTTCTTCCTTCCTTTTTACCTTCCTTTCATCGTTCCTTCCATCCTCTTTTCTTTATTTCTTTTCCTTCCTTTGTTTTATTTTTCTTTACTTTCTTTCTTTCACTTTTTTTCTTCTTTCCTCCATACCTTCTTTTTATCGTTCCTTCCATCCTCTCTTTCCTTTATTTTTTCCTTTCTTTCTTTATTTCCTACCTTCTTTCCTTCCTTTTACTTCCTTTTTTTCCTTCCTCCTTCCCCTCCTTCTTTCCTTTCTTTTTTCTCTTACTTAATTTATTTACTTCCTTCCTCCCTCCTTTACTTTCTTTTATTCTTTCTTTCTTTCATTCTTTCTTTCATTCTTTCTTTCTTTCTTTCTTTCTTTCTTTCTTTCTTTCTTTCTTTCTTTCTTTCTTCTTATTGTCCAGCCTTACTATAAACTTGCAATTACATGTTGACCACTTGCAGTTCTGACTCAGAATTATGAATTGATGTTTTTTTTTTTAGAAATTGTTCTGATATGCTAATTTAGTGTTGTAATATTTGTGCTTTTCTATAATCATCAAAAAACCCTGAATTTTTCCACATAAATATTTAAAGAAATAAAACGTGACATTATAGATGTTTTAAAGTCACTTTTGTTGCTGTCAACGAATACTTAAAAGTATTAATTGCTTGAAAAATAGAATGAATTAAAACCTCACACTACACTTTTGAATAGTGAAGGGAACATTTAGCAGACTCTCTTATCCAAAACAAGTTATAAGTGAGCTTCTATACATATTTACACCAAACATTTTTAATACACAAATTACTAACCTATTAGTTGGTGAGAGCATATGAAATATTCCAAAAGAAGAAACAGAAAGCCCACATTTAAAAAAGAAACACCCATTCAAAAGCCAATTCTAAAGAAATCCATAAAGAGAAGTTAAAGATGAGTCAATAAAATGCCAAGCCAAGAAAAGAGGATATAAAACCTGCACTAGTGTTGCTAAAGGGAAAACCTAAAAAAGCTAAGATGCTGAATCCTAACAAAAGTCCTTCTTTAGTGAGATGAAGGGCTTGCTGGGAATGTAGACGCTCAGGACAAAAGAGAGATCAAGGAGAAAACCTGAGAGAAACTTGCTGAGGTCAAACAAGCAGTCATTCTTTCAGCCATCAAAGTAGAAGTTCAGAGCCATCAAGCTCTCGTCTCTGTCAAGAGAGCCTGACATTTCCACACGGACACAAATAAATACTCTTCTGGAAAATTGGACTTCAACATCCTCACTAAAATTGAACCGTAAGCAAGAAAATCAGACTTGATAGACTGTGGAAAAGGTTTTGTTTCAGTCAGTCAGTCTCTGTTGTGTGCTTGGCGAAGGTCTGCGATCCTTTCACATGCGTTAAACTCAATGCTGTGGTTTGACTTCTAGCATGTTGAGTCTGCAAATAAAGCAGGCGGTGTGCCCCCAGGCTAATCGGCTCTAACAGAGGGCTCTTCTCACTGGCTCTGCCTCAGACCACAGACTATCAGTCTTTATATTCTCCTCTCGCTTTTCTTCACGCTAAGCTCTAGTATGATAACCTTCCAGGAAGACCATGTTTCATAGAATGATGCAATCAAGCTCTGGTTTCTGAAAAAAGAAATGCTTTTGCTGACTTCAGTCAAGCTTTCTTGACAGGCTGTTTTTATTCAACCTCAAACTCTCGCCGAGCATCTGTCAATAGCACCTTTCACACAGTGATACCGGTAAAAATCTGGAAAATTTCCGGAACGACTTTACCGGTAAATTTTAAAAAAGCGCTGTTCACACAGGCAAGGACGTTACGGAATTTTTCCAGAAAAGACCGTTCACACATCCATTCCAAAATACCGGTAAATTCTGACATCATTCACCACAAATGAGCTCTAAACGGCTGCGCTTGTATTTGTAAACATTTGACTACATTACAAACTCTGTGGATGATCAGTATTGTGAACAACTTCGATGAAAACATATGGAGGATCACGATCGCATGTCGAGATGTTCATAATACACGGGCACACGCAAATCTTGAAGGTAAACAAACAGCGGCTTATCATAAGCAACTTATCGATGATTATTTACACAGTTGGCATTAAGAAGAACATATAAACGTGATCTGACTAACTTCTAGCAGCTAAATGTGTCTGGAAAAATATTCAAAGGCTTTTATTCTCATAAACCGCGCGGACGTGAATGCGTCTGACTGTTCTGATTGGCTAAAGCAGATGTCTCACGCCAGCACGTTCTAGACGTGCACACGCTCTTTCCGGCAATCTTCCTTTTGCGTTCACACAGCGCAGCATTCCGGCAAATTACCGGTAATGTTACAACTTCTCTTTCCGGAAAATAACCAGAACGAATTTACCGGTATTTTCAAAAAGGACCTGTTTACACCTACAACTTTCCGGAAAATTGCCGGTAATTTTCCGGAAAGGTCTGTATGTGTGAAAGGGGCTAGTGTTTGTTGATTTGAATATGGGCTTTGTACACATTGTAAACAAATATTTGTAAATTAACAGTTTTATATTTTGTGATTCATGTTTTATTTATTTATTTATGATTTTTTTTTTTTTGTAAAGCACTTGCGGGATGCATTTAGGTGGGTGTTTACACAACAATTAAAAGCAGAAACGTTTTTATTGTCTTTTTAGTTATTTATTCAACCGTAGCATTTCATCTCAGTGCCGAGAAAACTGCTTAGTTAGTTCCATAGTCACATGATGATAAAAAATAGGTCACATAGGTCAAGATTGATAACAAAACGTTTAAAGCTTATTAAAGCAAAATAATTATTCTTCATGGATAGCAAAAAACATGTTTATGCCCAGGCAGTCTAAAACATATTTAGATAGATTAGCATATGTTTGCTCTGTAATATCACACTGTTACACACTATTGCTTCCCAAAACTATTGTTAATACATTCAAATGTTTAGAATTGTAAACCTTTTCCTGGCTGCTGTAAAAAAAAAAAAAAAATGCAAATAATGTGCAGCACAGTAAGGCTGGAATAGGGATGTTTTGTTTGCTTGCTTGAGGTTTCAAATTTATTTTTTTATTTTATTTTACATGCAAATGTTGTCAGTGATCACATATTTCCTGATTCTTTTAGCTTTCCCTTTAATAAAAGCTTTCCCCTAAGTTCAGGCACATTTAGAAATTGTGAAGATCGTTACTTATTTTTTTGATTGGCAGACATTGTGGAATAAAAAGATTAAATGTACTTCTTATTTCACCTTGTCTGGGGCTATTTTAAGATATATTATTTTCATTATTATGTATTTAATGTTTTATTATTTAATTATTATTATATAAACTTTTTTATTGCACTTTTATTTTAAATACTCCAACTAAAGGGGCTTAATTTTTCACCCCAAAATTTAAATTTACTCACTCTTTACTGATCTTCAAGTGGTTTTCAACCTTTATAGGATTTGTTTTTTCTCTATAACACAAAAGTACGTATTTTGAAGAAAGCTGAACACCTGTAACCGTTGATATATAGATAGTAGGTTTGGACCCACTTGTGGCAGAATAAATAGTGTGTACATTTTAATTTTTGCTTGAACTATCCATATAATTACCTAGTTATATCAGTTTGTATTGACATTTTAAGTTATGCTTAATAGGTTTAGGTTTTAATAGTTTTGAGCAAAAATTAATCATGATTAATTGTATCCAAAATAAAAGTTTGTTTCATAATATAATAATATATACTGTGTACAGTATGTTAATACACACATGCATGCATATATTTGAGAAAATGTTTTCTTTACATTTAGATATGTATGTATGTATATGCACGTATGTAAGTGTGTGTGTATATACAGTAGAAGTCAGAATTATTAGCCCCGCTTTTAATTTTTTTCTTCTTTTTGAAATATTTCATAAATGATGTTTAACAGAGCAAGGAAATTTTCACAGTATGTCTGATAATATTTTTTCTTCTGGAGAAAGTCTTATTTGTTTTATTTTGGCTAGAATAAAAGCAGTTTTTAATTTTTTAAGAACCATTTTAAGGTCAAAATAATTAGCACCTTTTAGCTATATATTTTTTCCGTCTACAGAACAAACCATCATTATATAATAACTTGCCTAATTACCCTAACCTGCCTAGTTTTAACCTAGTTAAGCCTTTTAAATGTCACTTTAAGCTGTATAGAAGTGTCTTGAAAAACATCTTGTCATCTTATTTACTGTCATCATGACAAAGGTTATATAAATCAGTTATTAGAGATGAGTTATTAAAACTATTATGTGTAGAAATGTGTTGGAAAAAAATCTTCTCATTTATATGTCTGTATATATTTTACATGTATATGTTTATATATTCTTTATATGTATATGTCTATGTAACAAGATGTATTGCTTGTTGTAAAAATTTGTAATAATGACAAAAAAAAATGCATTTGTGTATCTCCTCAGTTCCAGTCATTGTGGCTGGTGTATTCTGGGAAATCTCAGTTTCAAGGGATATCTAGCACTTCCCCTTAGCCCTAAGCACGTGAATGCGCAAAGTGATGGGGTAGGGGAAAGGGGAAGGGCTAAGGGGTAGAATTTGGCCTAATTATGATTAATCTTCGCCAAACAATAGTTTTAATCTATTAGTTAACAAATGTTTTTATTTCAACTTTATTTTTCCTACTTTTTTTATTTTGTTTGAAAACGGCCTAGACGACAGCTTATGGTGTCAAAACTGTACTCCCTTTCCTCCATTCATTCATATGATGATTGAAGCTTTGCATCAGTCTGACCTCACGTTATGTGTCTTCTTCTCTCTGTAGAAAAGTTGGTAGCGTATCAGAGGGAGTTTCATGCCCTGCGGGAGCGTCTGCGGGTGGCGGAGCACCGAACACTCCAGCGCTCCTCTGAACT